ATACACAGTATTTTCCCCTCTGGGATCAATAAACTATCTATCAATATTTAGGCTTAAAAAGAAATAAATGTGTGAAATTACAGAAAAAACCCTGGCAAGCTGTCCCGTAATTACTTTTTTAAACAGGGTTTGTTAATTCACAGACCATACCACTTATTTATTTATTTTATTGAAATTTAACTTTATAATTTACTGTCGACTCAAAGTAAACAATAAAAAGCCAGGTACTTTGTTCATCCACGGAAGGCGGGACAAATAAAAGTACCAGCTGTCAATCACGACCAAAAACTGTTTTATTGGCTGGAAGGAAAAACGTCTTGCGCCTGTCAAATACGTCATCACGCAGACATCCGACCTGTCCTTGAAGCTACAACACAGCCAAGATGGTCGCATACTGGAGACAGGCAGGCCTGAGGTATTAAAATAAAAATAAATATGTAGTTACAATGAAATGGCTTGTGGTAAATGTTGATTGCTTTATTTTAACGGGGTTTAAAATGAGAACAGAATGCTCTGTCAAAGAAAATGTTGGTTTTTAGTGTTAAATTCTCAATTTAGCTACATAGCTAATATACTAAGTTTACTAACGTTAGTGTTCCCCACCGTATGCGTTTAATTTATGGCAGTAGCATTACCTCAATACCGAGTCAGGTGGGACTTCTTCTGATAGTATGTGGTTTCTTAATGAAGAAGAGGTTGTTCTTGTCCTCTACAGACAAATCATTGTCGGTAGCATTTAGCATGTGGCTAACCTGTGTGTCCTCTCTGCAGCTACATCCGCTTCTCCGCTATCTGCGCTAACGCGGTGCGGGCTGCCCTCAAGCCGCAGTTCAAAGCCGAGGCGATAAGGGCCGCAGAGTCCAACGTCAGAGTCCTCAAACCTCAAAATAAAACAGCATGTAAGTTCATCAGCTTTAAAGGTACCAACGCTGTTCTGATCACAGCTCATGCCCTCTGATAGAGTGAATGTCAGGGAGAGGCGGCTGTGACGGTGCTTTCAGTGTCTCCTTCAAATAGTGGTGTACTGGGTTATTATTACTGTTGCGCACACATTTAAGCTCCATATCGTTGTCCTGTCTAGTTATGGTGAAGCTGGCCTCGTATTTGAATTGTCGAATGCATAACAATTTAACAGTGCATCAGTTTAGCGTTCATTTTATTCAGACAAAGTCAAATGCTCTCAACAAATAAATAAAAAATATAAAGGAATATATTGGTTTAGGAAACGTGAGTATGCATTGAGATTTATAATACACAAGTTTTTTTGAGTATTAAAATTCAGCATTTAAGTGCATTTATTTGGTTGTTTCAGTAGTGGTCACAGGCTTTAGCAGGTAATTATATGCTCGTATTGCTAACGGTATATGTGCTGTGGTGGTTTCCATTCTTATCAGGACTCTGAACTAGATGACTTGGTGCAACATTTCACCAACTTGTTTTATTGTGGTGAGGTGAGCTCCAGGAGCATTTAACAAATGTGACAAACTCTGCTGAAGGGGAAATGTAGATGTTTTATCAGGCGTGGAGAGTTTAGGAGCACGTGGCATGCTCCTAACATAGGTACTGTCTTTGTGGCTGACAGCTTAAGTTTAAGATCTCAAATTTGTTTAACTATAACCTTACAGTCACTGAATGTTTTAGATTTACGAAGACATTTTATGAGGATCTTTTCATTAATGTTTCCATTCTGCTTTTCTTTCCTTCCAGGATGTTTGACCATGATGTAGATATTTGTTTTTTCTCATGGGTTGTGAGGTCCTGCAGCTTACCTGTCCTGCACACCGTGGAGAAGAAAAATAAAGGCTGGTTAACATCAAGATGATGTGTTAGACTGGGGACCTGAATGACACTGCACCCCCTGCCCCCTTTTCATTTGTAATCAAAATTGTATTAAAGATGGATGTTGGAATTCTTTTGTCTCCTTGTGTTCTTGCCCTTGTAGTGTTGTAGTGAATCTATTGTGGTATTTACAGTACTGCACAATAAGACCATGATTTTTGTCAAACACTTTATTTTGATATAAAGCAATGGAATACTCTTCATAGTTATACACAGAAATGTAGTATTTACAGAGGTATGTGTGTGTGTGGATCCATGAGTATATTAGTCATTAGAAGTCAGATGGGGATGCCATCTTTTATACCAGTAAAAAATGTAATTCGAAAGCATGCGTAACCAATGGTATGAAAACAAATTGCATTAAAAAGAAATCAATAGGGCTTTTTACTCTTAAATGCAGTTAAGATCATAGGGTAATGTTTTTTTTTCTGGCAGGTAATATAATAGATCTTTGGTCACTTAATTTTTTAGATTTTTGTGTAGGTGGTCATTTAAATTCATCAAATTTGCTTTCTGGATAGGAATTGAAGTGTTAGTGAACAGTGCAGCTCTCTCATTAATGACCTCTAGTTTATGGTCACATGAGAGGTTTTTGGCTGTGGTACATCTTGATGTCTGACCTTTCATATCTTTAGCAATGATTTACTGAGCTGCTTAAAAACACTTCTCAACTTGTCCTGTCACTTAACGTCAGAGGCCATGATTGAAAGGACACGCAGGGTAGCTTAATGATAAAGCCAGACCATTTTCTAATAATAGATTCATGCTGATGTTTCGTTTGTACTTTTCTTTTTATTTACTTGAAATCATCCTTCATAAGTTACAAGAGTAAAGCATGGGCATTCTGACAAGCCACTGAGCCCTAGCTGTCTTTCTTCTCTCTGGTCATCTTGATCATGGTCTCTGGTGATCGATAGAGGAAGATGAGTTTCTCAAACAGTGTCTCTTCTAGCTCCATCTCTCCCGTCTCACGAACCACAAAAATGTCTGTGCAAAGCTTCAGGACTCTGTCGACACATGGTAGCTCCTCAAACATGATGGACCTGGATATCCCATTGAAGAATTCCCTGACAAACTTTCCGATGACTAGCACCACTGACATGTAAAGACCCACGATGCTGTCGTGAAGAGGGAAAGAGGACAGGTTTTGTGTGTAAATGAATCCACAGCTATGAGAAAGATTTCCTGTCAGGATGCAGTTAAAATGTCTTGTTACCTACCCGTGTCCGGCCAAAAACCCCAGACTGGAGGGGCTGACTTTATCGCTGAACACCACTAACTCGATGCTTTGACATTTGTGCTCGGAGGACGTGACAACTGGGGAGCACTCTTCCACCACCCACCACTGATCTGCCTCCTTCTTTGACGTCCCATTGACCTGCTGAAGCTGGATTGACATGGGCCTGAAGAAAGCCAGCGCCTGAAGGTCTGGACGGTCTGGACGGTCTGTCAAGTCTAAGAGATGATATGGGTTTAAAGCAAAGTGCATGTTTTATACACCAACAACAAGGAATGAGACTGACCTGCTTTGATCAGGTAAAAAAATACAAAGAGTAACTAACCTACTTTCATCCTGGTTCCCATTTTGGACTCAGGTCCTTTGGGACCCCTGATGAATTTAGGCAGCAGAGAATCAATAATCCTAGAGAGACAAGAAAACTCAGATTAACACCATAAAAATTTCAAAACATTCACTAATGTTGTACACTGGAGCTCTCCAGGGCTGCCTGAGTTCCCTTACATTAAATTTAGTTTGATGTTTAACCTTCTATGTGCTATAGAGACAAGAAGAGCTGCAGAGCCACATTTTCTACATTTCTGTTTGATTTACATTTACAAATACTTCATCACCTGAATAAAACACAATAATAAAGCATGCATAAACCATCTGATTGTGTTTTGACTGAGACTCACACAGGTCTGCTGCTGTTGCCTTTAAGCATTCGCACAATCCCTTCCCTCAAGGTTTTGTCGTCAAACTTCACAGTGTGCTCTCCCACGGTCTCTGCATTCATTGATATGGACGCATTCCTTAGGAGGGGAACATATTTGCCAGTGTCATTTTAAGTGTTATTTGCACTGGTGCAAAGTGCAGGCAAATGATGTGAAATTGCAAGTGCTTAAATAAAGTTAGCAGAAAATATCAAGTAATAAGAAACAATGGGCTAGTTTCCCAGATTTTTGAAGTTGATATGACAGTATAACTACAGTCATGTGAAAAAGTAAGTACACCCTCTGGTTCAGTACTTTGTATAACCCACCTTTAGCAGCAGCAGCAAGTTCATTTTCTCTATGACTTTAGCGGTCTTTCACATGTGGAGGAATTATGGTTGACTCTTTTAATGTAAACATTGCTTCAGTATATTGAGGTTAATAAGTATTCTATTGAGCTCATTCACGGTCCTATCGTAGTATTTCAATCTGAAATCTGGACTTTGAATGGCCCATTGCAACAAGCGCTCCTCTCATGGATTTGTGTCTGCTCCCACTGTCTTAAGGCTGCTATTACTAACATGACCTGCATTACTGAAAACCAACACAGACATGTCTCCTCCCATCTTACATGTGTCTGACAATTTAGTTAACCACTACACTATGAAGCCACTGACTGGGCCACTGTAACAACCTAATTCTTTTATTTTGTAGATTAGCTACTGTGCTTGGGATCATTGTCCTATTGCACAACCCAGTTTGGGACAATAGCCTTACATTTGAGTCAACCATGAAGTCCTCTGGATAGCAAAGTATACAAAGGAGTTAATGGTTTGCTCAATGATTGTGTCTGTAAAACAAGCCCAAATCATCACCCCTCCTCTATGCTTGACAGTTAGTATGAGGAGTTTTTGCTGATGCATTTGGTTTTCTCTAATTGTAACAATAAAGGACATTGTTGCAGAAGTCTTCTTGCTGTGGCGCCTTGTTCTTTTTAGAGAGTAGATGCTTCCAAACAAGCCATACTTGTTCAGTCTATTTGTATTTTTACTGTCATGAACTTTAACATCTAACATGCAAACTGAGGTCTGTAGAGTTTGAGATGTAGTCATTGGTTTTTTTTTTCTTCCCTGAGCATTGCATGCTCTGACTTTGGGGTGAATTTGCTATGACGGTGTCCATATCTTTGATGGTTAAATTACTTTTAAGAAAAATAAATTTTCTTTCTTTGTCTCAACTAGCTGACAAAAATACTAAGCAGAAATGATCTGAAGGTGAAAGATACACACACACACAGCCTGACCTGAGCAGTGTCCAGCGTAAGGTCATGTATATGTGAGACGAGTTGCTGAGCTCCTGGATCATGGCCGTTCGACTGGCTGGGCTGATGGTCCACAGTAAACTGGCATCGCTCTTGATCTTAGCAACGAGAATGTCCTCAGCTTCATAGTTCATGATGAACTGCATGGCAGACTGAGAGAGTGATTGAGAGATGATTAGATTTCCTAGGTTATTTCAGCAAATGCCGCTGCAGTGTTCTGGTGAATTTGGATAATGATATTTCAACATCAACTAGTGTTATATAATACAAACACAGCATAAACTCTATTTCAATATGGCACAGTGAGTCCATGTAGAGAGTTAATAATGAATAATGAATGTAATAAGTGTAGTGTCATCTGACCACCCGAAGTTATATCTTCTTGTAATGGATATTGTGTAAGAAATGCTGGACAGTAATGTATTTCTACAGGTGTTCTGGTTTTCTGCTCTAATACCCGAAATGACTGCTCCCTCCTGTGGTCATAGATGGTATTATTACAGCTAGGACTGAGCTCATGAATTTGTTTTATAGTTTTCGAGGTTAATGTATTCTGTTAAAGAACCAGATTGAGTGGAGTTTTGATGCTTTATGTATTTGTTTCTATTTACAGTAGAATAAACTGTGTCTCACTGGATGAGTCGCATAAACTTTGGTGAGCCTGTTGAATTTGGCTTCTGTGTAAGGCACCAAGTTCTGCTCCTGGGCGCTCATAGTGAACAAAGGCTGTGAGAACACACAAAGATGCAGCAGAGAATTAACACATGTCCACACACATACACATAAACCATGACACTATTGCAGGGAAGTGATGTTTCTTGTGTTTAATGATAGCAAATATGAATTTAGTTTTCCATGCACCGTGACTTTGCCGTTTCACCTTAGAAGGAAGCACAAACTTTATAAATAATATTAGTAACCATAACATTCTTTTGTGGAGAAAAAGTATAATGAACACAAAATATGATGTATCGATTCTGACCTCGTATCCTGCGATGCTGAGCTGGATGGAGACGTCTAAAGGCTGATTGGTCACTCCGGCTGCTGACTGGACCAGTGACATGAAGAGCAGTGGGAACCAGATGATGCTGATGAGAGCAAAGATGATGAAACCTCCCATTCCATATTTCACCACCTTCTTCTTCTTCTGCCCCGGAGGGTGGGGGAATTTCTGGAAGAATTACGAATAGATTACCATCAAAAGTTATTCAGTCCACTGGATAAAGACGTGCCATTTCAACAGCTCGTCTCAATTTTCCTGCATCATAAATTTATAAAGGTAAGCAAAGAGTTCTGGTAGCTCACAGCCCAGACTCTCTCATATATTTAATGGAAATTTCTATAGTCTACACTGAAAAACACACATTTTTCTGTAATTTAATTGTTTATTTTGTACTTGTTCAGGGACTAAAATGATTTTAAAAGTAATTTCAACTACTTTCTTAAGCACTCCTGCTTACTTTCTCAGACTCCCTCCAGCACTTGAGGACGAATATGTTAGCGTAGATGTCTTCAACGCAAATCCAACTGGAGAGAGACAGCGTGGTGTCGGTCCAAACCCAATCCATCACCGCCCTCAGCTCTGTCAGGAAGGGAACCATCCGAAAACTGAAAGAGGAGAAGAGAGAGAGAGAAAAACGTTTTGAATTAAAATAAAAATTTGATCATGCTACAAACAAACCAGTCACAGTGTAAAACGTGTCTGAAGTATTTATGTTGGCAGTTATTTAGTTACAGTTTAGCCGGGTTTTGTACCCCTGAAAGAGGAAGAGGTTCAGGTAGTTGTAGTTCTTGGTGAGGAAGTTGCCCAGGATGCGGTTTGGGTAGCCACACTTGATCTGGTACGCAGACAGGCCGAAGTAGATACACTTTACAAAGTACCACAGCTGAGCAACTGGGTTTCTGTTGAACCTCCTGGAGCAAATAAACAGAAGAGATATCGATCTTTGCTCCTTTTATTGTCATGGATCAGATTTGTTTATTTTTATTTTTATATACTGTGCTTAACAAATTTAATAGGCCTCTGTCAAATGTAAGATTTATGTGACATTAATCCACCAGTATGTGCAAGCTCTTAAACTGAAATCAATTTTTTAATGATAAAATATAAGTATTGTTGTTATCCATGAAATTCTAAGATTTACTGTTTTACAAAAAAGCTGAAAAAAATAATAAAGCTTTATTATTTTTTGATTACGATGCCAGATTACAGTTATCCAGCCCTGAACAGAAAAATTTGTTTTGGTGGTTGAATGTTTGAAAAGGTCAGTCATACAATGCCAACTTTATTTACAAAGCACTTCATTGAGTTTGACTTTATTTTACTGAGTAAAAAATGAGAAGAAGAAGAATTTATTGAACAATGACCTCTCTGTGACACCAGGGAGAATGAAGAACATCCAGAAGTGTATGCCAAACACCAGCACCACCTGGAAAACGCACTTTCCCAGCAGAGACTTCTTCAAGTAAAGGGCTCGGTCCACTATCATGGTACCAAACTGGATCAGTAGCATGACCAGAAAGGCCTCTGGAACCTGGTCTTCTGACAGTGATTCTGTGATGTCAGCCGCTGCAGAGTATTTCTACAGAGCGATGAAAATTAGCCTCATTGTCATAAATCATACATGTCAAGTAAATTTTATTTATGATTTAAATAATAAGAAATATTCATATGTTTGTGTAGTCTTACCCCAAAAGCCCAGTATCCGTATATGGTGACAATGAAGTTGACGACATCAATGAGAAACATGAGGGCGTAGACGTCACACACAGGGCTGTAATCTGGGTGAATGATGTCATAGAAAAACTGCCTTATAGGTAAGTAGATGTGAAGGCCGCTGCAGAAAGAGAAGAGACTGCAGAGTAAGACAGAAACGGGAAGCTCCTCTCCACTAAAAATAAATCTATGGAAAAATATTATCTACCAAAATAAAGTAATGACTAACATCTCAGAAAACAGACTTAGTGGACTGCAGACAACTCACACTTCTATGGCGGCAGCTTTGGCTTGTAGCATCCTCTCTCTGATCTGCTGTCTGATCCTCTGCTTCCTTGTCAGCGGAGCCTTATGTCGTTCCCGTCTCTTTTTCTTGCTTTGCTGCTTTTTGGGCTTCATCTCTCCAGTTTAAAAAATAAACAAATTAAAAGAAATTGAGAAAAACTAGCCATTTGCTGGTAATGAATTCAACATGACAACTTCCAAAAATGAGATAATGAACATGGAGACTCTTTATTCAAGACATGTAGGGATTTTCTGAATATTCACCACCAGATTCTGCAGATTCGCCTTTTTTCAGTCTACAGAATAAGGAGGTGGTGGACGCCTGGAGGGGGAGGAACCTCAGACGGCGTGGTGGTTGCTCCCTGCTGCCCATCTTCTCTGCTCCGGTCTTCTTCTTGTCCACTTTCTTCTTCAGCTTCTTGAAGAAATCGGGCATCTCAACCTCCTTGTTGTCCCACAGCCCATGGCACTGCAGAGACATAGACACAGGCAGCACTTGAACATTTCAAAGTAGCTGCTTAAAAACGATTTACAGTGGTTAGTTTTCACATTACCTTTAGGATAGATCGGTGGAAGAACAGCGCGAGCAGCTGAATTAGGTCGAAGAGGACATAGCCGTCCTTCTTCTCCACCCCAATGATGTTGGGCAGGGCGAAGGGCCGGTCAGCGTTGATGCCTCGGTAGGCAGAGGTGGTCCAGGGGAAGAAACCAAACTGGAAAAAGTACTTCACCACAACAGTCAGCTGAGACAAACAAGAGAGACACAAGAGATGTGAGTGAGTTCTGTTTGCAGCACGCACATTAAACTACTCAACAAATCAACCATTAAAAGCATTATATGCGTATCTAGTATTTGCATTAAGAAACTAAAAACACACCCTTGCTTCATTTAGATTTTATCTGGCGTATTTACAAGAAAACCTACTTCGGTGTAAATGATGGCTGTCATCCAGAAGCGTTTGGTCGGCCGAGGCACAGACAGCATGGCCCAGAGGAATATGAGAATCGGCAGGATGAGGGAGAGGAGCGAAGCTGACACAATGTGGTTTAGGATGATCACAAAGTAGCATAGCATCTCTGACTTGGACACCATGGTGTTATAGAGGGCAAACAGCAGCTTCAGCGGCCTCGGCAAGGTCACAAAAAACTTGTCGGACTCGGAGATCTCATCATTTTCAAACATGCTTCAGAATCAGAAAGGACAGAGAAGAGAGGAAGAGGAAAAACACAATGATGGAGATTAAAGTTCTTAAGAGATGGAGCTTATATCTCTTTTGTCCTGCATACTACATTTTTTTGTGTCTACTAACTTGTTGAGTAGCAGCTCACTGGCAGTGAGGTTCCTCGTTTCTTGACTCAGAGGTCTGGGAGACTCTGTGAGGTCAAGACTCTTCTCTCCATCGCTATCCCTAAGATCCAGCGAGGTCCATTCTAGGTATTTGGCACCTTCTTCCTCTTCTCTTTGCAGCGATTCCTCATCCCGCTCCTCTTTCTCCACCTCAGGATCTTCTCGTTGTTCTTGTTCTTCTTCACATTTCATCTCAACTTCTGTTTGTTTCTCATCATCCTCCTCTTGTTCATGAAGTTCTTTTGGTTCTTCACAGCTTTTAAGAAACAAGCGAATCAGAAATCTTACTTTCAGGAATCATAGAATCACATCTTGAAAGACAATTCTTGTATCTGAAGCTGTTTCTGGTAAATGAAACCTTTCCTGCAATTATGCATGTTATTTATGTGGTGTTTGCAGTTTTACTGACTGGGATGAAGAACAGGAAGAAGTTATTCTCAATGGAAAATAATAATTTTATGAATTCTGCACTCGAGTTTTTGTCTGATAGATTTGTCTGTTAGAGATCACAGCTAACAACAGGATTAAACTGAGCAGAAATATGTGTCTAAAACGTCGTTCACTCATCCATTCACCTGGGTGAAAGTTCCTCAGTGTCAAAAGATGTCATATCAATATTGGCCTCTTTAAAGAGCCTTCGTCTGAGCTGGTCAGCAGCAGGTGACACAGCAGGAGGCTCATCCAGCTCCTCCTGCGTTGGCTGCCGGGACACCAGCATCGTCTCGTCTGTCATGCAGCTGAAGTTAAGCAGGAGGGAGAGACTCAGTGTGTGTGCCTGAAAGGTAAACTATGACTATGTTGTCTGTGTGTACCTGGAAACACTGCTGCCCCAGGAAATTTTGGAGGCTTGGTTCTTCAGCTTCTTGTACGCGTGTTGTGAAGAAGGGCTGGCAGGTGGAGAGCCGGGAGCTGACAGGGATTTATCTAGATTGTCCTGAGACGACAGTGTGTTCTGACGGGACTTCCAGTTTTCATAAAACTGCTTCACACTCTCCTGACTCACCTCTTTACCCTGCAGAGCCAGATAATACAGACAGAGTGCTAAAAGGTGCATTAGGATAAAGGATCCTGGTTAAATAAACTGAAGATGTATCAAAAACACTTTAAAGACAAATTTAAAGACATTTGTGTTTAGTGTTCATCTTATGGGATTGCCTGGAATGTACTGAACTTGCTAATAGCAGATAATGTTGTTGTTTTTTCCCCCATAAAACTGTGTTAAATATAAATATCAGCCTTGAGACTAATTGTGAAACTTGTTCTGTTATAATTACATTGCTTATTGACTAAAATCAAGTGTTTATCCTCTCAGCTGACCTTCTTTTGCTGCTGGTTGAGTAACGCTCGCTCGAAGCGCAGCACTTTGGAAATGCCCAGGTTGTCTTTACAAAATGAGTTCAATCCCTCCGTCAGGTCATCAAGAAGAGACTGAAGGAACACCCAGCTGAACTTTATCGTGCTGATGATGCGCTGCAGGATGTTTTCTGTAAGAGGTTATGCGTAAAAGCACAGTAAGCCAATTAGAGTGAAGGTTTTCCATGCTTTTAATGCTTCCTGTTTTCATTGCAACAACAAGCAGAGGGTCATTTGGAACTAGGGCATTCCCATCCCTTAGAAGTGTATACCTTTTTTCTCCTCTCCCTCCTCCTCCACAACACTTTCATCTGGTTCGTCCTCACTGGATTCTGCTTTATCAATGCCTGGAGAACAAGAGCCATCATCAAACTGTTTGTGATACAGCATGTCTTTATAGTTACAGTCCACTTTACCATACATGTCTACTAGTAAGAGTAGCACTAGTAAACACAACATGATCCGTTCTCACCCTGCTGCCTCTGCAGCTCTCTCTTTGCTTTCTTCTTCTCTTCTTTCTTTATTTTTGTCTTCTCCTTCTTCAGGTCCTTCAAGGCCTTCTTTGAGCTCGTGACCCAGGCCTCATAGGCCAACTAGAATTAAAGACAAAGATGCACAGATCACCCACTGATCTTACAACATAGATTGTTTTTGCAGCTACAAAACTCAAAACGAACACTTTAAGGGGAAATTGTGAAATACTTTAACTGTATCTCCATTGCTTTTAATTTTGGCTCAGATCATTCTGGCTCTAACCTGAAAAGCAGATTTCTTCTTTGGTAGTTGCTCTTCCTCTGTCTTCTCAGGAACTTCCTCTTCCTCCTCCTCACTGTCACTCTCAAACAGGTGGTAGCCACAATTGTTTTCCACTGTGTTAAACAAAGCAGTGTCAAAACTACATGCACACACAGACATACCACTGGCATCTGATCTGCTCTAAAGAAGCAGGTCAGTGGCTAAAATCTGGTGCTGCATTTACTGTCAGGTTAAAAACATTTCTCTGATTAAATTGAAAAGAAGTGAAGCACACAACCCAATGATAGGAAACAGCATTTTCTTCACTCTTTCCTCTGCCAATACTCTCTTTCTTTCACACTGATTAAGGATCCTGCTCACCTCCAGGCTGAGAGACCCAGGGCTTCCACCATTTTCCTGCATCTCTCTTTGCCTTCTCGTCATCACCTGGAATTTACAGTTCGTTTTGTTTATGTGTTGATGATATTTACTGGCTTCCATAAAGTAAACACATCCATCACAGAGAAAAAAAACAAGCAGACTAAACCCCCTCCTCAAACATCCCTCACCATACTCTCTCTACTCTACTGTATGAATTTGGCCTGTTTTCCTTGCTAACATTAGAAACTGAAAAAGAGTCACTTGTGTTACCAGGTGTCACCTGCTCCTGATCAGCAAGAGGTTCTTCTGATGGTGCAGGTCGACTCTTCTGTTTAGATTTGATCTTCTCCATCCTATAGGAAGAAGGCTGAAAGGTTAGTTTATAACTCGCTGCTTAGGAAGAGTGTGATGGTCTTTACTGTAAACCTGATCCATTAATGGTTTCAGTGTAAGTGTTCTTACTGTTTCTTCAGAGCCTCCACTGATTTCTTCTCCATCTCCAGTCGGGCTGCTACCTGTTTTTTCACTCTGGCCTCAAACAATTCAGCGCCCCTTCAAGGTCGAGATGGACAGGGACATTAACTGCTGTTTTAGCTTTTACTTTGTTTGTTTTTACATTAACAAGCTAAGTTTACATTGTGACTCTAAAGCAGGGGTGTCAAACATAAGGCCCAAAATGTGTGACAAAATTGGCCTGGCGGTCCAATTATTACAGGACAGTCTGGGCAATGCTTTACACATTTTGTTTTACACATCATACAGATCTTGGCAACCGATTTCTTTCATTTAGTAGAGTAACACTTCTTAGTTATGCAGCAAAACTGAGACATACTGTTGAAACTGCTCTTTTTACTTATATTGAGATATTTCAGCAATTAAATGTGCAAATAAACTTCTGTATACAAACACAAAGAAAAGAAAGTTTCACTGGTCTGGCCCTCTCAGGATGAAAGTGGGTTGTATCTGACCCACCATGTAAAATGAGTTAGAGTAAGAGATTAGTGATGTCTTTTTACAGCTACTATGTTGTAAAAACAGAACAGAAAAAAACAGAAAAAATAAACTGTAGTTTGGTCATTCTAGCATAGCCTTGTAAGCCTTAGTAAATCCACAGCAACTCAAACAAACATGCCGAAATACATTTTCATGCAGTTAGGACCAAATCACGTTGTTCTTTCCAGGAAAATTACTGGAAATTATTATTAGGAATTCTGTGTAATGATTTATCCATGAAAGAGAGAGCTACCAAAAAACCTCTCGTAAACAGCTTTCGCATGAATTCTTGTGTCTTTGGTTTTCTTTTATTTTTTAAGTGTTACACTCAATCTAGATTTATCCAACAAAACATATCAAACTTTCAAGTTTTCAAACCTCACTGACCTTATGTGTAAAGCTTTAAGACTACTGTATGTTATAGAGCTAAACCTGAAAATGAAGCACTGACCTAGAGGCTAATATCTTAGAAGACTTGAGGTCAGACACCACATAGAGGAAGTAGTAGCTGAGGAAGACCCTCCTTTGTGCCAAGAGGACAGTGAAACAGATCGCATCCCAGACGATGCCGGCTTCACCTGCAGGCAGCTCACATTCATCATCGGGATCAGCTGAAAGGCACACAGGGTAGGAGAAATATGTCTGAAGAATTTACAGCAGATTTTAACAAACTTTTACATGACAGAAAACATTTCTGCATCCTCTGTTGTGTAGAATAATGACTTTGATTTTAATTTTAATGTATATCAATGGATATTTAGTTCTGCATTTTATTTTGGCTAATTAAAATGATCATTTTAACCTTCCAAATAAAGTGCAACTATAAAAATAAAAAAGTAAAATATAACACAGCTGTAAAAAAGTGTTGTAAAACATCTAAAAAATGTTGAATGTCAACATAAAAACTCTAATTTTCCAGCATTTCTTTCTGTTGTGTTTTTTTTTCTTTTTTTAATGGTGCTTATAATTATTGTTTCAGCACTGTGACAATTTCAGTTTGTACTTCAGCAGGTCATGCACTGAGTTGCTGCAATGTGATTGGCTGATTAGATATTTGCATTCATGAGCAGTTTAACAGGCGTACCTAATAAAGTGTCTTTGAGTGTAAATATACCATCGGAAATTCTGGCACATTCTTTTCTCCCTAACACAAATCGTGACTAAATATCCTTGTTACAGACACTTACGGACATCATAACCTTTGATGGTGCAAAACATGCTAAATGCCTGAATTAGCCAGCAGCTGTTCTTCACCAGGCTGTCCAGGTAGGCACAAGAACCCAGCTGAAAGAAGGAAAAAGAGGCATTAATCAGTAATGCATGATTTAAAAAAAAATAGCTGCATGTCTTGAATTATTCTGTACAATTGTACAACTTCTGAACTTCTTTATGGTATGGTCGCTTACAGACACCAGGTTCTTCATGGCGATCACAAAGCAGGTGTACCCAATGAGCCAGTCCCACAGCCGCAGGATGTATCTGACTGGCTGCATCAGCACACTGCCTCCAAACAGCATAAAGTAGAAACAGGCCACCAGGTAGCCGAGACAGAAGATGTTGATGCGTGTTGTGCCAGTAATGAAAATGAGACAAAGCACCAGCCAAAAGAAGTAACTGAAAACAAACACCTTCACCATATCAAGATAGCACCTGAGGACAAAACAGAGACCACATCTTCAGTTTAAAAAGAAAGAAAATCATACTGCCAAATATTACAAAGCTAAAGCATCGCTATAAAAAATATGTAAGCACTAGAGTTAATCTAGTTTTGTATTTTCTATTAGTTTTTATTTTTAGACGCCACATAGAGGAGGGCATATTTTAGAGGCAGGATTTAGGAAAATCAGTACAGGCAATACAATAAAAACACAACATCCAGACTCCCAATAAACACATCTGTTTTGGAGGAAGGAAGGTTCAGCATCCATGACTGCTTCATTAACCAAATTGTGATAAAATCAAATTATCAATTATATTAAAATAATAAATATTAAAACTTTCACTATTTTTTTATTTTAATTTTGATTTCCAAGTTCACAAAATGTTTTAGTTAGTTTTGATATCTTTCAAGAGTCTAGTTTCTATTTTTATTTAAGTTAATAAAAAAACCCTTCTAATTCCAGCTTTTACTTTAGTTTTAGTAAACTATAATAACCTTGGAAAGCACATATTTAAAACTCTTCAAGTAGTTTATTCCTTCTCTGTATTTACATTAAGATACAGCAAAAAAATTATTATTAAAGTGCACGTTATCCATATTTAATGTACAGGCTTATGATGTAATTGTCCAGGCTTATGGATTTAATTGAATGCATTTCTTACTTTTTCAAATGTTTGAGAGAATGTTTTTTAAATTTTGTAGAAAAAGTAAATAAGAAAAGAAAATTAGATGAAAACTGTTAAAGGTTTTAACAAAAGAATGAACTGAATAAACGGGTTTGTAGTTTAACAGTTAAAAACAATGTAATCTCTTCAACCACTTCCAGGGAAAGCGTTTTTCTCGGAGGTAGCGATTGTTTATCTTATAATGCACACAAAAACACTTAATGTCCAAGAACTCTAGACAATTAGAAACGTTTTAAAAGTATTTAGTGTTCTTTACAGCCTTTTTGAAGAAGCGATCTGTCTTTGCATAACTACGTTTCACCTTGCACGACTTCTACCATGAACTTTGCCACCTCTTCATCCCCTCTATCTAAACAACAGGCTCTGAAGTGCAGGCTGACACTTTGGAAACTCATAATCATTAACGTTTAGAGATTATGCTGTCTCATTTCAAGTTATTTATACTTATCTATCCAGAGTGGTACAAAAATTTGACTGGGGAAATTAGAGATTTTGTATTCTATATTTTCAGGCTTTTCAGCTCACCAAGGAAACAAGGACATTTAATAGTAACTTACAAAATTAATGTAGTTTAGCATGGGAACACTACATGCCTAAACAGAGTTAGTTATAACACTAACACTTGCACTGCAGACAATAAGAAAGTATTCAGTGCAGTTGTAGTACAATGAATAAATGCATGGATGTGAACAGACAGGGGAGAATTCAATGATTTATGTTTTGTTTTCTGTTTATATGTTTAATAAAAATCATGAGCTCTTTACTAAATGTTGCTTCTGTCTGGAAGCGAGGCCTCAGATGCTCCCTGTGGTCATTGACATCACTCACGCACATCAACATAATGGAACATGATGTGGTGTTATTATGTGTAAACAAATAAGCAAGTTCTTTCTTTTATCAGTCATTAACCTGCTAGCTCCTTAGTACAAAGTCTGTCTGGTGAATTTACAGTAAGTCAAAATCAGGCTTCCTGCCTTCTGTGCACACTTTTCTGGCGGCTCCATAGAATCGAACTGAATCCAATCTTCCAGCATTGTCCAAAGTACATGTGTGATGACGGCTTTATTTCTTAAGTTGGCAGACGGGGCTTTAAAAGGGTGTTCCCTCTGATTAGGCGATCAGTCGTCTGCGAATAGCCCAAAAGTTCATCAGAGAAATAAGTAGAGATATAAATAATAATTTTGTCGTCCCTAATATGTGTTGAAACAAAGGAGCCCGAGCCTCAAAATCATCGCTCATGTGGCTTGCTTGCAATTTTACAAATAGGGAATAATTAATTAATGAATCAATAATATAGGTGGCAAGGATTATTAGTTGGATTACAACAATCAGAGAAGAGGAGCAGGAAGAGTGTATGTGAGAGAACGGTGCAGAGCAGTCAGTTCATCCAGGGGAGCATCGAGGCATTCCCAGCCGAACTCAGAGAGATTATCTCTCCAGCGTGTCCTGGGTCTACCTTGGAGCCTGCTCACGGTAGGGGAAAACACCTCATCCAGGAGGCACCAAAAAGCATCCTTGTCAGATGCCTGAACCACCTCAGCTGGCTCCTTTCAATGTGGAGGAATGGCGGCTCTACTCTGAGCCCCTGAATGCCTAAAACCTATCACTAAGGGGCAGGCCAGCTTGTTTCCTCCACTTGTATCTGCAATCTTCTAAGCTGCCAGGGAGTCGAATTTCTTGTATTTATTTTAATATAAAATTTTACATAAATTACTAATTCCAAATGTGTTTTCCACATGGAATTCTTTTGGTTTTGTCTGAGAATTTTCAGAAATATATTTTATGGACAGCAAGAAATCTGAAGACTGAAATAAAGCCCATTAACAAAAGTTCCTGGAAATGAGACACACATAAATTAATAATCTAATTCAACCCTTTAATGCTCCTAAAATGACCACAGACCAGAGTGATGGGCTCCCAACTCTCCATATGCAGTTTAACCCACAATACAAAAAGCGGTTTGATGAGAGTGCTGGATTATGGAGTTCAGGCTATTTCCTGCTCTGATCAACACTAAATTTAGATTTGGAGGGTGAGTCATGTTAAAGATAAGAAGAAAATAAACTGAACAACAGAATTACACAGTGTCAGTATACTGATAACAGACATATCAACCCTACAACAATTAAGAATCACACATTCTGACCTGCAGTGAAGAAAGTTGTCAACAGGTATGAACTGGTTGAAGGAGCAAGGATCCAAACTGCGGCTGATCTCGACATTGTCCCCGGCCAGCAGTCGCACTGCAGCTCGGTTCTCCTCCTCAAATACGTGCCACTGCAGAGACGAGCAGAGCAGCAGGAGGTAGTCATCTGCAGACGGAAAAGGACAAAAATGGGAGACCCTAACCCAGAAGAGGAAAAGAAGATCAACAAAATAAGAACTTAGAAGATGAACTCACAGAATATGAATAAAGGATTGGGTCTCATGGCAAAGTCCGGCATGTAAAACCACTTAATCACATTAGAAGACAAAGGGTGAACAGCTGTTCTCCAGGGGTAATCTACCAAGCAAATGGAATAAAAGGCATAGCACAGATTATTTTCATTTATATATTTATATTTCCTTTGAAGTGATTTAGGTGATTACATTTTTTATCTTAGAAACTTTTTTTATATTTTTTTCAAGACATGGAAGCAAAACTGCTACAAACTATTAGAAAGATCCTTACCAACACAGAAAGCAGGAGGGATGCCGATGCAGAGCAGATACTGCAGCACCATGAGGCCCGCTGTAAACATGCAGTATTTAGACCACACTTCACCAATCGCCTTCCTGCGTCGCCGAGACAGGACAGCTAGCAAGGCGCAGGAATGGAGCAGGGCGTAGAAATCCATCCTCTGACCAATCACATTGACTGCAACGATTAAACTGATCTAAGAAGCAGTACAAGCATGGTAAGAAGTCAGAGATGTGCACTTTCAGTTAAAGAGAAACAGAATGAATACTGCAGGCCTGAAAAAGTACCTCGAGTCCAAATTTGTAGAAAAAGAAGTTGATGAAGTACTTGATGCATGGCAGGATGCCATGATCCAGGTGCTGCCTGGTGATGCCTTGGAAGATAATGCTGAACGGTGGAGGCTTCAGGCTGTTATTGAGACGAAAGTAGAGCTGGTGGCGGTGGACAGTAGACTCGAACACCAGCAGACCCAGGACCATCAGATGGTTCTACCACAGTAAAAAAAACAACAACCAATAATTACTTTAATGCTATAATAATAATAGTATGGATATCGAAGTATTATTTTCTCTAAACAAAACTACTGCTAAGTAACTGAAATCTAAATTTCTTAAAGATTTTTGCCCTAATGAAGTTTCATGACTAGTAAATGACTTTAAAAGAGGTCTTGATGCATGCTCAATCATCCACGTAAGTAAATCTCCAAAAGTTGATTCTGTTCATCTGGACGACTTTAAAAGAGCTTTTAAAAGCAGGTGCACTCTTTTATAAATGTTGGAAACACATCACAATTTTTTTAAGATACCAAACTTTGACATGTATCAGCTCACCCTGAGACAGGGGAGGATCCTGCCCTCACACTTGCGCAGTGCTCCACACCAGTAGACGGGGTCAACGGGCTCGATGTAGAGAATAGACCTCCTCAGCAACTCCACCATGTTTCCCTTCAGCTCTGCTCCATCATCCAGGCCCGAGCTGTTGGAGGGAAGTAAACCCTAGACAAGGTAGTCAGACTCATTATCAAAGCCTGTTTCTACCTCAGTATCAGAGATGACATCAGGACCATGTGACTGAAGTTTGTAATGTTTGTGCATACTAGAAGAAATAGCATCCCACATAACTACAATCCTGAGTGACACAGTGGCAGTTACATTCACAAATTAACTTAACACGCATTAGCAGGTTTGACCAGAGAACCTTCTTGCTGTGAGGTGAGTATAACTGCACTACCACAGAATAGAAGCGCAAAAAACCCCAATAACACAGAAACGAGCCACTTAATCCAACCTCCAGAGACTTATAATTACAGAAAACTCACAGCAGTGCAGTTAGAGGAGTAATCAAGAGGTTTGATGACTTTGAGCTGGTAAAACATCTTGCACACCACCATGACGCATGCCCACACAGCAGAGATGTTTGATGCTAAAGGTCGTAACCGTGGGAACGGGAGTGCAAATGCCCACAGAACCAGGAAAAGCAAGTTCATCAGTGAAACCTGTGCAAAATATATTAACATATTTATGTACAGAGAAGAAGAAGAGCTGGAGGTTAAATGTACCCTCATCAACATCAGCACTAAGTAAATCAATACTGTTGGACATATTTTTTTTGTTGCTGCTTTAATAACTTGTATTTACACACCTATAGAATTTATGCATGCATGATCAGAGCCAACATCCCACCTCTTGCAGCGATACCCAGATGATGCCAGACGACACAATTTTGAGGCTGTGGAGCTCCATCAGCCTCCAGCTCAGCTCCTGGAGCCTTCGAAACCCCGACAGACCCTGGATGAGCAGCAGGCTCGCCCGATCCACAATCACAATCCACTTGTCCTCACTGCTGCTGTGCACTGTTTCTAAGAAGAGGGGATGATACCAAGGGTAGGAAAGGGCATCAGACATAATTTGATCATTAACACTGGATTATATCAATGCTGCAGCCGCAGACAGTAACAGTACAATCTCAGTTATCTGAAGAGGAAACATCAGAACATGTGAATAGACTCCAAATGCTCTAAACTGAAAGAGTAATGTTTGCATGTGTTTGCATGTGTTAAAGGAAGCCAACGAGTTTCAGAGAGTAAAATTGAAAAAACAACAACAACCTGTGCCAGCTTGTTAATGAAAAACATTGTTGTTACAGATACTACCTTCTCCTGTCTCCTCCTCCTGCTCTTCTGCCCCTTTTTCTGAGGAGCTTTGCTGTCCAATGCTGGCCAGAGTCTCCTGACTTTTACCATTTCCCATCTGCTCCTTCACAAGCCTGACAACCACAATGAGGGTGTTCCATTTAAAAAAAATCTGACTAAAAAACTGCAGGAATTCAGTAACAAATCCATCGGCAGTTTTACAGGTTGTTATATATCCAAGTATATGTAGTAACTTTTCATCCAAACAAATTATGTTCCAAATTAATACAATACAGAATGAAGATAATAAAACAACAATGAAGAGTTTTACCGTTTCTGGAGCTTTTGAATGTTTTCTTTAATCCTGGGACAAAATGAGAATAATGACAATGCTTGTAATATTTCAGTTACCTCAAAGCACAGCCAGAGACTATTTTATTATTGCCCGACTTTTAATATTTTCATGTAACTGAAACATAATGTAATGCTCTCACCACATAAAGAAAGTTCATTTTGATTCAAATGCAGACTTTATCCACAGGCAGTGAATAAGCCGTGTGAGATGCGGTCAAATGTGGTGGATCTTTGTACAAACAATCAAAGTATTTGAACTGCGAGTACAATTAAAAATTTATAATAGGATAATTGCTACGCTTACGTGTCAGATATCTCATTGACTGAATTCATGAGCTCTTCCTCTCTGTACGAAGAAAAGGACAAATGAGACACATAGAGTATGTAGTATAGTCAGTAGGCAATCAAAACGTAAACATTTCATACGACTTATTAAAATTTCCCTTAACAAAAAAACCTAAAAACTCCCCTTCAAAGTTGTTTTGTTGTGCCTCTTCTGACTGTACCCAGTGATGCTACAATTTTAACATCCTCTTATGACGAGTAGCACTTGAGCAGCTGCGAATTCACCTTGAACCTCAAAATCTTGCAGAACACAATCATTAACTTCTGTGCCAAACTGACCTGACTTTTACATCAAGTATCATTCGTGGTAATGAGTTAGGTCTCTGGCTACAATTCAACAATGGCTCAGGTGTGCAGGAAGACAACCCTGAAGGGAAAAATTTAAATCTGTTAAGGTGTTTTCAAGGAGTCATAGAGCTTTTTTATTGCACCTCATACAAAAAAGCCACAAAAATTGTTATTTCATTTATCTAGAGAGGGGGAAACCTATAATTACTTTTAAAATATAATAAAAATAATCTATTTTTTATATTTTCTAAGTAGATTTATCCTATTTTGACATAAATGACTGCCTCATTTCTTTAAGTTTCTTTTAATATAACGCACCACATGTTCTTGTTCATATCGATATCAAAGGACAGAATGTTTTTTCTGAGCAGGATCTTTCCCTCCATACATTCCTGCTGTCTCACCTTGAAGTCTCTCTGACAGGTACGTTGTCCAGGTCAGTGAGAGTCAGAAAGTCAAAGTTAAAATAATGAAGCTGGAGGATACAAGCCAAAAGGAACGTAGCAGGAAGCAGAATGCGTGCAAACAGCTCCACCGTGTCGTACCGTTCCAGACCCAGGTCACGAAGACTGGGGAATCACATGGGAGAAAAACACACAACCTTATAACAAACAGCCAAGTCTGCTACAAAGACAAATTAAACAGATACTTCTTGCTTCATATCAAAAAGGCTCCTAACACTAACAAAAATACATTAATGAGTAACAATTCACGACCTACCACGAGTATATAGTACAAGACAAAAGACTCAAATCTACACCCCTCATTTCTTTATATTTGCTTTCTAGGAGTCAGGCCTTGTTGCAATGTTTTAAAGTGCTCTTGAGCATTAGTTCTCAGGGCTTTCTCAAGGTCTTTCAATGTTTTTCTTTGGACATTGCCTGCTTTTTCACTCATTTTTAGTCCACTCCTTGTACCTGACCATTTCAGAGGAAAGTTTTCTCTTTATTAAGCCACTGACCTAAGAATCATTCAAACATAAAAAGGACCAAACTCAAGGTATAAACCAGTGTCGTGTCTACACATAACTATGGAAAAACTCAATCTATCCTTTTCAAAACTACTAATTCCGCCTTCAGCATGAGGGACAGCCCTCTGTGCCAGAGCCAACCTAAGGAGGGGCATCAAACAGGCCAAGGAGGCCTACAGGAAGAGGAAAGAGGACTTCCTCACAGACCAGCTGCCAGAAGGTGTAAAGAGGCATCCAAGCCCTCAACAACTACAAATGCCAGAGGCCCCCCCCCTCAACCCCTGACAGCAGCCTCAAACCTATAGCCCTCACGTGTTTTGAGCGGATAGTGTTTCAGCACGTCAGAGACTGTCTTTCACTGTATTTACATATGTGCTTGCACATGTTTCCATAAATTGCAGCATCCATTATCCCATTTGTCTAACAAAATATAAAGAATCAAGAAGTTTCTAAAGACTTCTGCACAATACTGTATGAGACTCACCCTTCCTCTGACATCCCCATGATTTGTCTGAATAGCCCAGACACGCTTCTGAACTGGTACATATAGATAGCTATCAACACCACCATGGAGTAACCAACAACCACTGCCCAGAACGTCTTCAGGAGTCGACGCCACACATCATAACGGATCTGAGAGAAAAAACAGTGTATAATTTCTCCTGTAAGTCTTATAATTACCAATTAAATATCCATCCATCGATCCTCTGTCCCTTATCCTTTTCAGGGTAAAGGACGGATGGAGCCTATTCCAGCCACCATAGGGCGAGAGGCAGGGTACACCTTGGACAGGTTGCCAGTCTGTCCAGGGTGTACCTGGACAATAAATATATATATATTTAATATATAAAAATTAAACAAAATAGTTCAGAACAGCCAAATTAGATCTTCATTAAAAATGACAGTGTTGCATTTATCCTTCAAATCGCCTTGGTATGTAAAACACCGGGCGTTGCTGATGTTGTCTAAATAGACATGTCATGTCCAAAGCCATTAGGCCTTCCTGTAAGTGCCTACCATCTTTCTAAAAGGTCAGCAGAAACATAATATGGGCAAGAAAAAACAGTAAAACTGGAGCAAAAAAAGTGGCTGTGTATGTGCTTATTAGTCATAATCAATACTTTTAACTGGAAAAGAGTATGGATGAAGAGTAAACAGTCTGCCTTTGTGAGCTTTTCTACATTTTATGGAAGATCTACAACCACTCCGAACATTTTTACGCACAAACAACAGCTGAATGGTTCACTAATGTTAGTTTAGGAGTCAACACATTATAGTGTAAGCTGAACCTAAAATATATTGGCTTTATGTGTTCTACAACAACATTTTACAGTTTTTCTCAGTCGCTTTGGTGCGTTTCTCAGATCAGAATTGAAATTCTCATAACTATTAGTTCAACCTCCACAACACTCAGTCATTTGTGCACATCATAGTAGCAATTTCTCCTCTCTCTGAACAAACTGCAAATGATTTTGGACATGAATCAGTTGCTTCC